TGTAATGATGCAATAATATATTTTAAGTGTGTTTTGAGAAGAAAACCCAAAATTGCTTAACCGTCTTCTGGAGGCTTCTTCCATAGGCACTTTTATAACCTATTGAGCATTTGCCTTATTTTATAGATCTATGATTTAATTATAAGTAAACCAACCAAAGTAGCATATTGAGATTGAGCTAGAAAATAATAAAATAAGTAAATTTTTAAAATCTTCAATTAGAGAAGACAGCACTACTGTGTTGGTTTAAATCTTGGATATAAAAAGGAATAAGATTTTGAGTATGTTTTTGTAGAGAATGGAAGGGAAATATGAAATTTGATGATGATTTTATATAGAGATAGAGAACTGTTTGGTAAAATTATGGAAAGACTGATCCTAGAAGATGATGAGATTTAGAAAGCCTGAGCAGTAGGGAAAAGGATTTCCCACTAGGAAGGATCATTTGTAGAAAGGATTAGTCAGGTATGTTGAGGAGGATAAGTATTCTGTTTCCAAGAGATACTACCATGGTGAAAGACAACGTGTGATACGTAGGTTAGAATCATGGCTATATTAGTGTACATTTCAAACTCTATAAGCCTCATAGTTGAGTTGCTAATAAAAAGACATGATGAAAATCCAACCCTAAAACTCAAAAGTAAATGACTTGGGAGAAAAATTGTTAGTTTATGAAAATTAAATCACTCTGATAAATATACCCAGGTTGTATTTTGTGTTTAGCATTTCTCTCGTTTTAGAAGCAGCCCATTGTTTTGTTTAGACTCCCAGCTCACTGTTATGATTAATAGCTGTTTGGAGGAGGAAGCTGAATAATTGACTGAATTACAAAGCTGCTCATGTAAGAAGAACAAGAAAATAGAAACAGCTGAACTTGGTTAAAAACAGTACTTATTTAACTTAAAAAATTGTTTATAAATAAGTATTGATCTCTGAAAGTTATCTATCATCAAATTCTGAACTTTATTGGTATTTATACCAATTGTGTCTTCCACAGATAATATGGTAACTCTGGTACTAGCATCACAAATACTTTGCCTTTTAAAAACTCATTATTTTTCTTTTGCTTACTCTTGCTTCATATCTGCCCACAACCAATATTCTGGAACAGTGTTGCTCTGATGGCTTTTGATATTTATGAGACATGAACATGGGATAAATATGTCAATCATTATAGTAGGTTATGAAGTACTAATTTTGTATTTCATGCTTGCCCACTAGGAAAGCAGAATGAAAGTACTTTTCTGGATTTTCTGGATTTTTAATTGTAAAACTACCTGGATATGAAGCAAATATAAAAATGAATTGTATATGGCAATAACTCATATTATTTACAAGGAATATTACATGTTATATATGATTTAAAAGCTCAAACTTTAAAAACAAATAAAAATAGAAAATCCCCCCCTTTATTCAAATGAAATCCTAATCAGATAATGCAGTTTTTCAAAGATAAACGTGAAGTTTCTCTGAAGAAGGATAAAAAGAACAAGATGCATTGACCTTATTATTTATAACTTCCTGTCTCAGAACCAAAATTAACTTTGAGACTTCTTAAAGTTGCGTACAATGGAGTTTGCAACTGTGGTCTCAAATGGTATTGGAAAAGAAACTTTGAGGGGTGCCTTCAAATTATGGTTAATGCCACAACATGCTGGTGTGTTTTTCATAACTAATTTGAAGGAATTCTTTTTCTTAAAGTTCTGGAGAAGAAAAGACACATTTAGAATGTAAAAACTATCCTCAAGTATCTGAGGAGAAGAACCTTCTAGGAGTAATTTGACTTGGTTTTGTAGACCATGTATTCATTTTAGACAAACGACTGGAGAATTCCAGGGCATAGATACCACCTTCCTTGACCTAAGGAAACTTGCTGCTTCCGATACAATTTTGCCCCAAGGACAGACTGAGTTTTTGAGCAAAACCTCTTCACATGAAGCTTGGGAGATTTGTATAGCAAGGATATTTTAACTTTCTAGCATGTGAGTTGAAGGAATCTTTGCAGACTTAAGATTCGTATTTCTAATGGAATACCAGACACCAGACTTATAAGTATGCTGTTTATCTTGAAGACTTATTTGTATAATAGCTTCAGGAAGACAAATTGGATTTATATTTATAATTCAAATAAGTATTTCCACAGTAGTCATACAATATCTTGAGTATAGTACACACATATTTTTTAAAGCAAATGTTAAGATTTTGGCTCTGTTCTAATAACCCTTCTCTGTGTGGGCAGTGTAACAGCCTCGGTAGTTTTCCTGCCACCCATTGGATTTATTTTCTAGATATGGTGAATTTAAATGACAGTATGAACTATAGACAGATAAGATACTTTGGTTTCATAGAACACGTCAGTCTACTTTTTTTTTCAATTTATACTCAAAGTCTGCTTAAGCTCTTGGTGTTTTGTATTCTTTACTTTAACTCCCTGAAATCATTTTATTCCTCAATCCAAACTACTCTTTTTAGATCCCTAAGAGTTTGCTTCCTAGTTCTGTTGACAGGTGTTTTATGTTTTGTTCATTCTGAGGTGTTTTTTTTTTTTTTTTTTTTAACATTTAGATACAGGTACTATTATACTATTTAGCTGAGGCTTGATTCCATTGTTTATTCATTTTTAAATCAATTGTCATTATCTGCCTACTCTAGAAATTGACCTTTTCTAGAAATATTTGATCTCTAGTTTAGAAGAGATCCCTATTTCCATGTCCCTGCCCTATGCTACCTCTCCCTCTGAAGAGTTGTAATAACTATCCTAAACAGGTTGTTTTAAAACTAAGCTCTTTATCCTGGTTTACAAAGCTCATGATCTGGGTGTTGCTTGCCTCTCTGCCTTCCGGACTATTCTTCACCTTAACCACTATACCCAGCTGTTGTGCCATTTGTCAAACACAACAAGGGGTTTCTAACTGGAGGCATTTCCTGAATCCTGGAATGTTCTTTGACTAGCAATTTACAGTCATATAAATCCATATTGTATGATTAGCAACTTCAAATCTCACTAAAATCCCAATTTATATTTTATCTCCTTATCCAAGTCTTTCACAAAAACCTAAATGAATAGCCTTTACATATTAATCTATTTAAATTTCCATAGATCATTCAAATTTATATGGTATTTGTTTTCTCTAATATTTACTTGTATATTTTCTAATTTCCCTTACCAGAAACATAATTCATTAAAGGAGCTTTGTGGTCTGTTTTCTTCACCAAAATCTCTAGCACCTAGAAGAGGAACTTACATGTAATGGGAACTTAATAAATGTTTGTTGAATGAATGAACAACTAAGCACAGTCTCCTCCACTCTAAATGTGCTCATAGCTTAACTTGGCTAAGGATAAAATCTTTCAATTTTTTTATAATAACAGAAGCTTGTAGGATAACCTATTCTGGTAACCTTTGGCTAATATTTTTTCATAGAGCAGTAAGAAAGCTGTGAGGGAAAATATGCCTATATATGTCTATGTAAAAATATTTTTATATTGGTCATATTGTCATGTTAGGCAATGAAGACAGGGAAATCTCAGGACCCAAAAGATCAGAAATGATCCCACTAGAGTGAAACATCAAAGAAGGCAATCCTTAGAGATGTTGATTTTCACAGCTTTGTGGTCTTGAAAGTTATTTTCTTCTTCGGCATCTTTTTCATTCACAGACGCTATGGAAACAGCATTCAGATTACCTTTTGCCTAGATACTTTAATAATCATACATTGTGATAAATTGAAATAAAAATGTTTCGGGGCAATGTCTCAGACTTATATTTTCAAGTTTTTTGTTATACTGTTTAACATATTTCTTAATATGATTTTTTTCTATAAAAGTTGTATTATTTTATATATTTGGGAGGGATATGTTTTGCACTCTTAATTTGCAAATATTTTATATAGCAAAAAATTATGGCACCACTGTATAAATTTCTAGTGTTAGAAAGATGATCATAAAATTCTCTTGCATTATTGATTTTCTTAGTTTCTCTCCTGTTTAATGTTAGCCACATAACATTATTGATGTGTTTTTAAATATGCATGTTAGAACATGTTAAAAACTTGTGTGAAGCGAAATCTTTTTTTTTTTTTTTGGAAAATTTATTCTTTCTGTTGGCAGACATATTTTCATTATCATCCCTATTTATTAAACTAGTTGCAAATAGTGTAGGGAAATGTGTATCTCATGTATCAATGTATCAGAAAAAAATCCTCTACTTAATTATCTCTATTTTCGTAGCATAAAATGTATGGCTGTTTTCTGAATTATTTTTTAAAATCATGTGTATATTTTTTCCCATAATTGTCTTGGTCTTTCATATTTATTCATTTATGTAATATGTACCATTTGTCAGTAAAATCACTGTGTATATAAATGGTAAAAATGTGTGTATATCCTTTTCACCTTAATGTCCACCACAGATTTTAATACAGCACCTTGTAAAAATGGTAGTTAAATGACCTGAAAACATATAAATAAGTATAAAACAATCCATATAAGTGTAACCATACATCAAACAAAACAAAACAAATAAACAAACTAAAAACACCTTTCTGGAACTTTCTTTACCCATTAACTTATCAAACTTTTTTATGTGTAAAAATTGAGTTCAAGAACCAATATTCTTAGTTATACTTATGTAGTAGATATTAGTGCCCTTCATTTACATTAGAGTGCTGTGAACCTATAAAAATAAAAATAATATTTATATTTTTTCAGGTAGTTTACTGTGCTTTCAATAATCATGTCTAAATTTCTAATCATTATTAGAGCTAGGATGAGGATTTTCAGCTTAGTTAAGACTGTTTAACTAGGACAGCATCATACTAGGGGCCAGGAAATGTAACCCTCTCGAATGTAGGGTTGTCTAAGTGGGGCCTGGGGTGGCTGGAATCTTGGGCCTATCGCCTGCGACAGAGAGCAGCCTTGGGAATAGCCTCTACCGGGGCTCGCCCTGAGGCGGGACTGAGGTGAGAGGGGTCTGATGGTGCGCCCTGCGGTCCCCGCAGGTGGCAAGCACAGTGAGCGACATCCAGCCCTTGCTGCTCCATTGCGACATGCTGAGCGCAGCCCAGGAGGCGCTCTTCCACCCAGACATCTGCTTCAGCAGCCAGCTGCAGAGCGCACCGCTGCTCATCGCGGACAAGGGCCCCGTGGAGCTACCAGAGGAGTTCGTGGTCCAGGTGCCCAAGGAGCACAGATTGCAGCCCAAGGTGCGGCCAGCGGTGGGGAGAGAGGGCTGGGGGTGGTTGGGCAGGGGCTCCTGAGAGGCTCAGCCCCAGGAAGTGCCCCAAATGTGTCTTCTTGTAAGTTGACTGTCTGCATTCATTTCTGTGGTTATTACCACTTAATGATATCCTAGCCAGTTTTAACAGTGCATGCCGGTTCTACATTAGAACTTCATCGGTATTTTGAAATGTTTGATTTAAAATATTTGATTGGGTTTGAAGTATTCTTGCATTATCACAGGAAATTTAAAATTTCTTTTAGTGACACTTTCAACTTTTGTAAAATTTGAAAGGTTGTGGAAGATAAGTTTTAACATGTCTGATCATCTGCTTGTTTGAAAAAGCTTTCATCAGTGGAAACTATCAAGATTTTAAAAAGATTATGATTAAGACACCTTGCTTAGGGATTGCATATTAGTCATTTAAAGTGTAAAATTTGGTATAAAGGTTATAGTTACTGAAGCAACCTAATTTTCTTATGAAAATGGTGGAACATTCTTTTTATAATATTGCCTCTGCAGCTGGAAAATACAGCAAGTGACACCCAGCCCTAAAAGCTCCAGTGAGGAGCATGAGGCCATATTTCCACAAAACTTAATATTTACTCCTTTCCCCAATACTTTATATTCCATTTTTTATTTACATAATATTTAGGCAATATAATTTTTATTTTTCACACAAAACTACATATGGATACTCTTATTTCTGTCATTTCCCCCAGGGAATATAATATTTGTGACCTTCTTTATGAAAAAGAATAGAGCTGGGAAGCATTTGCTGAGGGGGACTATGAATATCAAACCTTTCCTAAAGCACAGTCATTCTTCCTCCCCAAAAATGTCTAGAGAGGAATACACATATAAGTAATACTAGCAAAAGAACATGAAATATCACAGTATTAGCTGAGTTTATCTTCTAAGCTTCATTAAAGAGTTCTCTGGTAAAATAAGTTGGAATACTTTGTTTCAGTCAGGACCTAAGGGAGGTGCTTCATAAATCCATTTGAGATTTGAGAGACCTGTGAAAGTTAAATGAAATTCTTCAATTACCATGGCCATGAGGCAGAGTAAAAGGGTAACTTTGCACTCACAGTGGCTCTATCTCCTAACTCACATACTTCAATCAGTAGCCTCAAATCTCTCCATTCAGATTGACCTTTCTTTGCAGTGGTGGTTTGGCAGTAGCAGTGGTGAAGACAGGCAGGAAAGTGGTAGGTAAGTCCATGCAATTCCACAGAAGCACGTAGAATAGAGCCCAATGTGTTCTGAAAATTCAAGGACAATGCATAGAAAACAGTCTTTAAGAACTTCCATTTTTCCCTTTCTGGTTTTTTTTTTTTTGTATTATCTTTTCAAACTTGAAGTTTTCTAAATTGGGTATACTTTTAGTATTCCCAGAATGTGCTTCAACAGCCACAAAGATTTTGTCATAAATTTGTCTTATGATTTGTATTGTAAAGCAATAATATATAATGAATATTAATTTACTCCAATGCCTATACATTTGTCAGAATTTCTAGTATTAAGAAATATGGAAATCATGTTTAATTTTTATGAATTCTATAAATATTTAAATCAGCAACTAATATAAACACACACAGCTGCTGGAAACGTCTTCTGACAAAAATTTAGAATATCAATTAGAATAGTTTTTTCTAAGAATTTTATACTGAATTTAAACATTCCCCAATTTCTATAGCTTAATAAGATTTTTCTACATTGCTAGATTTTAGTTTTTGCCATGTATATGGCAGGTTACAGGGTAGTGATGGGTTTTAAATCATATTTCTTAATCAATTTACAAACAGGAAAGCTGTTATATTCTGTTTTGGACAGAGATGAAAACAAGAGCACAGGCTAATTTTATGTGATCTTATTAATGAAGACTGAGGTTAACTTCTTGTGATTTAAAAGGCACTAACAGAATTGTGTTAATCCGTTATGATGAGATGATACTTTTTGAAAGTTGCTTTTGTGCGAAAGTAATTGTATCAAGGACACAGAGAGTGAATACAGGTCATCTTAGAATATCCCCTGTATTAAGAATAAAGAAGAATAAGTAAATATTATGGGGGCATAATCTTTCCTAATATAGAAGACAATATATACAGCTAGAATGCTTGGACAGGTATTAAAAATGACATTGAAGTAAGAGATATCACATTATCTTGAGCTCTTTAAATTGAAAAGCCATAGAGGAATTCGAGCAAGAAAATATCAGTCAATTCAAGTTCTCACGCTTCCTCCCATCCTTCACATTCACAAAACAAAAACAAGTCTGTTATGAAAACAAGATACTTTAAGACTATAAAACTCAAAAATAAATAAAACAATAAAAGCTGCTATTAATGCAATCTGTGATTCAAAAATAAAACTGGTATTACTTAAAAAAATATTAACCTCTGTTTGTTCTGTAGGTAGCCAGACAGGCAAGTACAAATCCAACGAAAGCAGCTGTAACAACAGAAAAAATGCCTTTATTGGCTTGAAATTAAACTTTGTTTTTTCCCCCTTTGAATTCATTTGACTCTTGATAGCTAATAACACTTGAGAGTTAATGAGTGGTTGTATTCATACAAATTAGGACATCTTGGTAAAACAACAAAGCATGAAGAATTTTAAAAAATAGTTCTAAGTTTGTTTTTAGCATGTTAAAGCAGAAGGAAATCTAAGGGCAGATGTCCTAGTTAATGACTAGAAATCACGGCTTTCCCTAGAAGCTAAAGGAATGTTAATGTATTTTTTCAATCAGTGTATATCTAGGTTTATTTTTTTATCTCAGTGCAGATGCATTAAAAGTTCATTGAGAAGATCTACAAATAATGCTCTTACAAGCCACACAGACAGTGGTGCCAGGCCAATACAAATTTGCTGTAGGAAAATAGCTAAAGTATTTCAGGTCTGAGAAAACTTCTGAAAAACTCTTCTCTGGATTCATTTTAAAGTTAATCTTTGCAAGAGCCAAAATGCTTCCACAAGAGGCTTGCGTATTTGTTCAGCTCATTTGGAGAATTACATCAAGCTCTACTGTAACCTTTTTTAAAAAGAACTTTTTCCTTAATACTGGGGTTTTAATGTTTATAGATAGGTTTTAATGTTTATAGGTGGGAAGGCTTCTATAAACCTGTGTGTGTGTATGTGTGTGTGTGTGTGTGTGTGTGTGTGTGTATGTGTGTGTGTGTGTGTGTGTGTGTGTGTGTGTGTGTGTGAGAGAGAGAGAGAGAGAGAGAAAGAGAGAGAGAGAGAGAGAGAACTAAATGCAGAAATAATATTTTAGGAATATCTCATTCTTACGGAATTCTAAGAACCCTGGAGTACTAAATCTTAGATATCAGGAAATTACACCCAGGGATTTTTTTTCATGTGTGACTAGTTTTTCTTCTGTTTTTTTCTCAATCTTTCCAACAGCTTTCTCTGCCCATTGTCATTGTAAGTGACTGTCAACCTGAATTGCACACCATTCCTCCCAGCCAGAGCACCAACCACCAACTGGTGCTTGCCTTCTTGCCTCTTAATTCAGATTTCTAAGAAAGGAAATTTAATCCCATTGGGTTAGGTAAATATCCCTTATCTAATTACTCTTGTCACCAGCCATTCCCTGGCCCAGAGCCCACACAGTAGCAACTGTGTAACAGGCAATACTAGGAATACTTACTATAGGAGTGAGCGTAATGTCCTGTGGAGCATGTCGGGGGATTATCTATTTGGTGGGTCAGAGAAGGTGCCCCTGAAGATAATGTGGCCTCTAAGCTGCAGCCTGACAGACAAGTAGTAGTTAGCCAAGCACAGAAATGGAAGAAGAAAGATACCACTGTGAGTAGAGGAAACAGCAACGTAAGGGCCTGGTTCGGATGATTGGAGCATAGAAGTTCCAAGGATAATTTCTAGATATCAGTTTAGAAATGATCTGGAAAAGTGTTCAGAAATCTGGCCAGGAAAAGCATAGTGATATAACATTATGAGGCGTTTGACATTTTCCTGATGATGGGAGTGAGGGAATAATTAAGTTGATCTTAGAGGAATTAAGCAAGGAGTGACACATTTGAAGAATTAACAAAAAGAGGCTCCAAGACAAGATGGAGTGTTCATCCTATTGATGCAGATAGGTAAGAAATATAAGAGTCTGTTACCTTGGTGGGTTTGACTCAAGGAATAAGTGATGGTAGTGATGATGAGGGCCAAATAACAGAACATAGATACTCATTGCATGTGTGAGTAAGACAGAGGGAAAACCCAAAGGGGAAAGCCAGGTATCTGGCTTGAGAGATTGCATTAGCCTTTACTGAGATAAGAAAGACAAGAGGAGATGGAGAATGTAGGCAAGGAATGATGATGTCATTAACCAACCATTTACAAACTGAACAAAAACCCAATTTTCTGGCCCCAAATTTAAGGACCCATAACTTAAATACAATATAAAAATCTGAAAAAAAAAAAAAAAAAAAAAAAAAAAAAAAAAAAACTAAACTAAAAATGTTATGTGTTTAGGATAAGTGATTCTCAATAAAAAAGTAATAACAGCTAGCATTATTATTTGTTAAGCATCTTATTTTGGCCCAGATGTGATAAGATATCCAGAAACATAAGGGCAGCTGCTAGAATTTTCATTCAGTCCTTCCTTCTACTTCCCAGTAATACCTAGCAGGAATACAGTGGAGCCAAGATTAGTTCTGAATTTTGAGCTCTGCTGTCTTTCCAGGCCTGGATATATTTGGCATTCGTTCAGTTCTTAGTACAATATTCCGATGCAAAATCTAGAAAGAAGCAGGAGACTACTCTGCCCATATTTGCGGTCATTAACAATGTAACATAGAACACACTTCAGTAAAATATTGACAGGGTAATTGCCATGTGTCTTTTGAGAATGCCTCAAAAATGAACCTTGATTAATCTCTTGCCCAATTATAACTGGTTATTAAATAGCATATCCCTTGATGAAAGTGTAAAGTGATGCTTTATTTTGAGGAAATGGTTAATATTCTCATT